TTACCCAACTAACAGGGATATAAAATGTCAATGATAATGGGGTCACTGCCAGAACGGTCGTGTTACATAATGCAATGTCGTGGATAAACCAGAGCTTTGTACAATACCACCATGTTTTAGCTCCTGATTATTTTACTATATCAATAAACAGTTTTACCGCTTAGGTTCAGTTCCCAAAGCTCCTAGTTACCCTTTAAAAGTCTTAAGTGACATTTAATTTATCTACAATTCGAACTCATGGACAATCACTCTACCATACACTTAGCTATAACTTAGATTAGCCTATTGGAGAAGTTGGTTTGGTGTTGCCTAGCTATATAATAATGACTCTCTTAGGAGTTGGCGTCTCAGGTTTTGGTGCAAAAGGAAGATTTGCTAAAATATGTCTTTGAGAGAATTATTTTCGTTAAACGTGTCAATTATGATTGTTTTTGTTGATTCTGCTAGCGTATACAATAATAATAATAAAGAAATAATTTGTTTTAAACAACAACAAAAATTAGTTGTTACATATACGCCATTCTAAATATTTTAAAAATCAAATATTACCTACTAGATTCTACCAAAAGTAGTACACATGGGACAAAGTAAGGTGCAGTTAGTAAGAAAAACCGTAGGTTTAATGATGTTATGCAAGCTACAAGTTATTGGAAGGGTTAATGGAGACATTAGTAGAGGCGAGATGCAGTTAGAGTATGTGATGATAAGAGTAGAGTTTGTAGCGAGGGAGTGGTCGATGTTTACGATCACTCGTTCTCTGGAATGGGGCAAGTTTTAAGGCCTGATAATAAAGAAGCGGTTGAACCTATAACAGATCGGCTGAGAAATAGATCTATAACTGAATTTAATTAAACTAAATTAAATAATAGTACGTATAATTTAAATAGGTTACGTTTTGCTGAGAGTTGGATGTAAGATCTTTGAGCAAAATTTATATTAATCAAGAGGATCTTCTAAGTGTCTATACTATATGAATATTTTAGAGAAGTTAGTGTATTTTTAGATGGAGAACCATCTGTACTATATATCCATACACTTTGTACTCTAATATCGCTAACTCGTGAGAAAGTGATAACGAGAGAAATAGGAGATGATGTTAACATTCCTAATGAGCCTTGACTAATTCCACTGGCGAATGTCACGACTCATATTCAACGGTCCAAGTGTTTTTTGTATACTAGGTGAAACCCGTCGAAATCGACGGTTAAACTTTCAAGGCTTACGCTAATTCATCTAAGTGCGATAAATTAAGTAAAATTATACATATTTAGCATTGTTTAAAGATTAATAAGTGTAAAAACAATAATGATATTAATTGCGTTAGTAACCAAATATGGTTGATCATTCAAATGAATAAAATATTTCCCATACTGTATGTCATCGGAGTTGTTAGTATTGCTATCTGGTATCTCTTCCTTTGGAAGAACCTTTAAATAGTATTAAAATCGTATTGGTGGATCTTTTGTAGTTAAACACTTCCGTGATTTCATCAGTGTAATGCAGATTAATCTATGATTTTTATTTATTTTTAATCTGTTCGTTGGGAAGACACGTTCTAACTTCAAAGGGAGGTATATCCGTTACAGTGTTAAGTTTGGTTTTACCTTCGTCACGTCGCGTCAGTTCATATCGTACTCATAATGAATAACACTCTAGCACAGTTTTGAGAAATTGGTTGTGGGGTTACTGTTAAAGCTAGAATTCCTTGACATGGGGGATGTCAGTTAGTTGTCTCAGCCTAATCAGTTACATAAAGTTGTCAATATAATCTCTCTATAGAATGTTAGCTGTATTGGAATATACTTGAAGTGAAGTTGGCTTTTATTCTTGAACTATTAGGGGCCTCCTCATTTATATGGTCGTGCAGCTTCATTGGCAACAAATAATGCGAATGACATAGTAATGTGGCATTTCCAAAAAGCAAAAAAATAATGTAAATTGGCTGTTACGTAAATATTGACGTTTACATGCATTGTTAATCAACGTATCTTATAAAGGAAAGGATTATGTGATCTAGTTTAAAAGGGATATGACCTTTCTGTCACGACAGTAGCTGCTTAAATAGTATTTACTTATTGGGAAAATTTTTACAGCCAAAATGTCGTGTTACTTTCAATAATGTTACCAACCCAGTGGGCCACGGTCCGTAGTATAGGCCACTGCAAATAATTTGTCAAGATAGGTACTATTTTAGGCAAGGTTTCTGTGTTTGGATGTTATTAGAAACGGTAAGAGCACAATAAAATTCTTCTGCAGATTAATTTTCTGTTGGAGAAATATAAGCCGAATTATAAATGTCACAATGCGAGTTTGAGCATTTTGTAACTATATTATATGGGTAAGTTACGTAGATTTTTTAAGCTGCTGCACTTTAATAATATATATTTTAGAGATAAATTAAATGGTTTTTGTTGCTGGGTATTGCTAGTAAACATACACAACCCCTTTCATTAGTCTAATAACATTCAAAGACTCTCTAAGAGTTCACGTTCTTATTTGTAAAAATTTTATTTATATAGACATATCTATATTATGTTTCCATTCCAAGCTGAATGAATAAATCGAAGTAACCTCTATAAAAAGTCTGCAGTATATTGCAGTTTTCCAACTTAATGACTTTCAAATCATGCACATATTTCTATATCAATATTGTAGGCTAGGCCTAAAATGTTTTATCCAGTTGCTGTAAACTATTAGTTTAACAAAATATGGACACGGCTCAAATGGGCACCGTGCCCTTCTGCACTTGTATTATTTTGTATTATATTACACAATCAAAAATTTTTCCAATGATTAAAAGCATGTATGAAAATATCTCATGAACCTATGATGATCTGTCTAGAATAATATGATAAAATATACAGGGAAAAGGTGTGAAAAAGGCAGACACCAACCCATAAAATAGATATAAGATAGTTCAATAGGAAATAATTGCAAGAGTTATTGTGATAACAGGATTTTCCACTGATTTCGTAATGGAATTAATATTGCAACACATGGCATGATATAGAAGAAAATCAGTTTAAAAATCAGAAAACAACATTGCAAATACTTCTTTTGGACTATTCAGTAACTCCCAATAAATGTGTGTTATTTAATATACAATACTTTAAAATTAACAGCTGTTTTATTAAAAAGTATTCATGACAAAAATGTAAACAAATCTGTGGAGGGATCTTTAAAGGCTTATGGGGCAGAGCCCTAAGCAAATTTACTTCGTTTTTCTTTTGATAACTCATCTACAGACCAAGATCTTTCTTTGGACACCTATACCAAGTTTCTACGCCCAGCCGTTCTCTCAAATTAGAGGAGATAAAGTTTCCAAGTAAATATTTAGATTCCCCCATGTTAATCTTATGGGAGAAAATCCAACTTTGATGGAAGATCCTGTCCAAACTAATAAAGATATCAAAAAACGAAAAACACTTTGCAAAACTACAGATCAGGGCAATTTTTTTGACACTTTAATCATCAAAATCGGTCGAAAAATGAGGGAGGAGTTCTGTTCACAAAAATCGGCTTAGCGTATTATATATATAGATTAGGTTAGTTTGGTGTTTCGATTTGTTACTTCCCACGACCTTCAACAAGGCTGCGCCTTGTTCTTCTTGCTCCCACCACCAAGTGTCAGAGGCTCCGTGATTGTCATTTTGTCTGCATCGGCATAAATTTTTCATCGTATTACATCTTAATTTTGTGGCATGTTTGCAATGAATTGTTTGCCTTATTTCTTCTTGGTGAAGATTTTGTCTGTTATGGAGTAAATTAAGAGCGCCCAGCGCGCCTTTTGGAGCCCAGGAGGACTACCGTTAACCTTTGACCCTGGGTGCAGGTACGAGGGTGCGGTTCACTAAGTACTAAAAAAGGAATATAGCATTATCAAGAAGTATGCCACTTAATAACAACCGTGATCTTATGAAAATATTGGCATGTCTTTTTGAAAAGGTGGTTTTTATGTTATAGATAAATAAATTCAATAGTAAAAAACTTTATAAAAATATCGTATTGGGGCGTCGCTCTTTATCTGAGTAGCAAAACTAATAGTAAAGTATCCGTTTAGTCAGTTTTTTTATATACTATTTCTGAAAACATTTCTAGAGTTTCTTATGTTGCATATACGTTTCACCATACCCATATTATTTATAATGGTTGTTAATAACTTACTAACTTATTGTTAGTCATATTGAGTTATTCCCTAAACGTAGTCTTTGAACGTTAATCTGAAGTTAATTGTATCTATGATTGTTAAAGATCAATTCTTTAACACCTTTAAAGACTGTTAAGACTGAATGTATTTGAGTATAGAACATATTCTGTTTTCTTTCATGTTCAATTAATTGGCCATATAAATGAATTATATATATAGAAATATATGTATATTATAAATTAATTAAACTGTTTTAATTAATTAATTAAAACAATTAATAAATTGTTTTAATGTTGTGTATATGGTTTCAGTCTCTCATTTTCCAAGTTTAGATTGTTAAATACAATCGTTATTTAACAACCAAATGTAAGGTTTCCCAATGTATTACTTCCAACAGTAGAGTGTAACATGATGTATCTATACTGTTAATATTACAATAGTACACTTTTGCACAGTAAAATAAAAGTTGCAATATAAAATGTACATCTCTCTAGAACCAAGATTTTAACTGTAACCATCAACCGTTAATGTTGTTATGAGACGTTTGCAATACTTATTTGTAATCTTTATAACCCACAATCTTTAATACTTAACATAATATGGGATATCACAAATATAAGACTTTTTCATCGACATTATGTAGTGTTTGTTACTAGTTGACCATGATAATGGCTGTACCACTGTAGCACAGCTAGAGATACAAAATGTATATATGTTCCATATCCAATATTTATGGTAAATGAGATTTGAATACCTATCTAAACCAACGTTGTTTATTGGCCACCAGGCAGACTGCTTGGTGGGCACACAGTAGATGTGGGCACACAGTAGGGGTACGTAAACTAAATTTACTTTATGCAGACACAGTAGAGGGGGGCACACAGTAGAGGTGGGAACACATTAGAGGTGGGCACACAGTAGGGGTGGGCACACAGTAGAGGTGGGCACACAGTAGGGGTGGGCACACAGTAGAGGTGAGCACACAGTAGATGTGGACACACAGTAGGGGTGGGCACACAGTAAAGGGGGGCACACAGTAGAGGTGGGCATACAGAAGGGGTGGGCACACAGTATAGGTGGGAACACAGTAGGGGTGGTCACACAATAGGGGTGGGCACACAGTAGAGGTGGGCAGACAGTAGGGGTGTGCACACAGTATAGGTGGGCACACAGTAGGGGTGGTCACACAGTAGGGGTGGCCACACAGTTGAGGTGGGCACACAGTAGATAATTTCACTTCAATTTGCCGAACATTTACATTACTAACACATTTATAGACCCGTTTAATAATCCTTGCACTTTTATAGTCATCATTTAACATCATGTCGCACAAGAAAATTGAGTATAATAATTTTAAGTTATTAAAATTATTTTCTAATCCTCTTAAAGTTGAATTAAATATGTATGACCTATCAACATTAGGAGGGGTTAGCTCACAAATATTGTTACAAAACCAGTGTTATTTTTATTCTTATAAAAGAACTGTTCAAAAATATAGTTAGCAGTAATGTTTATAAGTTATTGTAAGGGAATAGTGGATTTTGCTGTCTCTCAAAATATTTAAGGTGGAATCATAAAACATTTCAATAACTATGGAATGTTACAATAGAATGACTGTCCCAGTAACCAGGTAACAAGTGAGCTGCGGAAACCACGGCGAGCTTCCGGTGATTTATTAATTGGTATTGTCCTTGACCAAACCCATACAATACATTTTAAGTAACTCAATAATTCTGTTGTTGATGTGATGCAGCTTTACAAAAGTAGGTCAAATTAAAGTCACATTTTGCTGTATTGAAAAGTAACACATCTCCAGACACGATTCGTTGAGTTACATGTGTAACTGAATGATACATTCATTTAATTGTGACTTTAACCTAACTTCCTAAGATGAGATATTTATATGTCAATGACCTTATTTTGATGTATATTGCAGTTACCAGGATGATGTATTTTGCTTAAAATATTATTTATTTCGCAAATTTAAATATATAGGCTTGAAAGTGTTAAAATGTGGACTATAACATTGGAATGCCCTGTGTAATAACAAACTAACGAACAGATTCAAGAATACATATTAAACTTTTTGTTATTTCTTATAATACAGGATTTTGAATATTGAGATAGTGGTCAGGGATATGATACAGTTTAACTATTCGTTCTGCAATAGCTTAGGCCTTCAGATAACTTACAGCCATTACATATATAGCTTACTCAATTAAGCTACTAAAGTGCAAGTCACTAAAGTTAGTGGAAGATAACCATGATTTGTAATATGTAAACACTATTCCTGACACGTAGGATTCGCTTGACTCACACATTAAATGTCCGAATCCAATAATATTACATGACACCATTGAGCGACCATCAAAGTCACCAGTAAGAGTCACTGTAGTCAAGCGTGCGGAATTCACAGGGACAGTATGTTAAAGGCATCATCAAACATGTAGGATTAGGAAGGCTCATATACTTAGCGTTAACCTTTCAGAATCGATAATACTAGCATAGAATAAATATATTACTTTATCTATGACACTAGTGACTAAATCTTATCGTGAGTTGTTCGATTGATGTATTATCTCTGGGAACAGGTCCCACAGGGATGGCACATTTCATATTTAGCAACAATGGTTTAGCACTGATAACACTAATCCCAACAAAATAAATCCTTTTTAATGCTATGTCGAACTCTGGGGACTAGACAGTTGGTTCAAATATTGATGTGATAACCTGCTGAGCCAATATTATTAGCTTACTCATTACTGTAGAGTGTGTGTTATCTGTTCAGGAGTGTGTTCTGATACACAAAAATAGCCTATTGTTAGACAATTAACGTGTCTTTAATTCGTACTTCTTTTAAATTCAATATTAATAAATATATTAAAATAATACATTGTGATAAAAATTTATTCTTTGTACTTTATTGTAATTTTGTCTTAGGTAAAGTAATAAGAGGTTAATCAAAAAATGTCCCTAATACCTCTAGGGCCACGTCCAGTGATGTGCAAAATCGTAAGATAAATCTCAATACTCCGTTAAAACTAACCTAAAGTTTACGTTTGCTCTATGCACATTTGCTTGATTACATAGTGCAAGTAAAACGTTGTCAACGAAGTGGTCCAGCTGAGAATTATCTTAACATACATTTAAAGACGACATAAACATAAGGTGAGTCGGTGGCTCAGTCGGTAGCGTCAAGGACTTGGGCGATGTCGTGGGTTTGGATCCTGGCCACTGTCATACACACTTTATCAGCACAGTTCACCTTCGTACTGTACCGGCTCATTCCTTGCTTTGCTGGATATGACCCACGCACGAACAGCTAGACTATGTGGACGGGTAATTGCAAGGTTAAAGGAGGCCGCCAATCTAAAAAAAAAAAAAAAAACAAAAACAAAACAGTGCGTTAAAGTAAAATTGACAGGTGTGTTTCCTTTATTGTTTTTCAACACCAGACTTGAGGTTCCAAACAATTATTTCCATTTACTTACCTACACTTTGTGAGAAGTTAAAATAACTATCCAAAATATAGCGTTGAAACATAGTTCGCGATTGAAACTAGATGAGACACAACAAACACAATAGTGATCAGTCAGACCAACTTCTGCGTGAGTCATCAGCGCCAACCTGGCAATCTAACAATCATTACATCAAGATGATGTCACTGTGGTTTGAGATATTAGTTACACCTGTACAATGTTGCCACATTTATAGTTTAACTAATCATAAACAATAACTTTGCACATTATAGAAGTTTTGCAGTGCTAGATTTTCAAATATCTACTGTACAAGAAGATACGATGATCCTTGGATTATTTTAAGAAATTGCTTGGTTTTTTGCAAGTAGCCAATCAAGCTACACATTAGTAATGTAGCTTAAGGGTTACGCGCTAATCTAAGAGAGAGCCGACATTGATTGATATATGAACGCGTGAGAACATCTAAGACTAGAGGGCTTTCCGTATCAGAAAATGTAGGAAATTCTCGGTAACCTGTAAAATATCTTGAAATATTAGCATAATAATAATAATAATAATAGCAAAAGCAGAAATAATAGCGGCAGTTTCTAATGATTTTTTAAACTCTTAGTTAAACTTACCAAATACTTATGCATACTTTTGAAATACTTTTTTAAATCTTGTATTCTACAGTTAGTCAAGTCAGCTTCTTTCTAAAGATTTTTGACATTCATCAAAATTTGTTTTTGAAAAAAAATACATATTTGTTATTTTTTGCTAAACTAGTATATCTTTTATGGATTAAATCATCCGTTCATAGTCAAGTAAACCAAACTTAACAAAACAAAATAACATTATGTTACCGTTACGTTGCATTAATAAAATAAATACAAGATTAACGTAACGGTACGGTACACAACTCAATATCAAGATTACAAAAATGTAAAAAAACAATACCTAGATACAATTATAATTAGTATCGTTTCATCATTTTTTGTTTTGTATTCTTCGAAATGTTGAATATATTTATTAACCACCATAACATGCAACAACCACCAGATGTGGTTTTTTCGACCTCAGCTTTTGGGATGGTTTAACTCATTTACTTTTGTTTGTTTAATTACTGTAGGTTTAAATAGTATATTTTCACAATGGCTTTTTTGATTAATATAATTGTTATTTATTGGATTTCCTACAAAAGAATGTTTATTATTGAAAAATTAGTATAAATGACTACTAAAAAACTAAAGGTTATGTGTTTATGAATAACTTTCTAGATAACTTCTAAAATTGGGCTTAAAGTAATCTTTCTCTAAAATAGGTTTCGTCAGAATAATTTAATTCATCTACCTATTTTTTAAGGTGAATATACTACTTTCTAAAATAGTAAAGAGGAATTTTATGTTATTACATTGTACTAGGAGATTATACAATGACATAGTTTCAGCAGGAAATGGAATTGGATTGCCATCATAACGTCAACAGTACTGTATTGCTTTAGTTGTTCCTACCAAGTTAAGTTCGGTGGATACTGGAGTTGTCTTGACGTTTAGCTAAGTTACGACAGCAGAAGTTCTTGAGTATTAAAATTTGCCCTTGTAGTTCGTCGTAACATACGATATTCGTTCACTACTTCCCTCAGTAGTTAATTTTTGGACAACAACAACTGATTCGACATAAGTTAGACATACAGGTTCAATATTTAACGTCGGTAGAACTCTTCTTTCATATATATAACAGTTTTATTTCAGTAAATGTTAAACTTGTTAAGCTTTTTTTTATTAAATACTCTAACCACAATTACAGTGTATGCTTTATAATTTATGGGTGAGTATAAACATGTTTAAACATAGTGATCTAAATATATTAGCAATCACTAATACAAGATATTTTTCAAATATTACAGATTTATAAATATTGAAAACTAAAATTAGGTAGATAAAAATAGAATACCATGTTTTAAATTCATCCGCTAGTAAGTACGATAAAAGTTTGTTTCAAAAGATTATTTACTAAATATATTGTTATCTATTTAAGCTTTTCCCATTCGGAATAAATCATGCTAAGCTAGGATACTGTTTGTTTTAAACTCTTGTGACGATCATATTTTTCATGTAATTCTACTAAGGATATTACTATAACCGTTAGACTATCATAATTCTATGCTATAACCTATAAAATATATGCCTAGCCATATATTTTAATAGTATTGAAAAATATTTCGTATAAACTATAATCAATTTGCACTCAAGAAATAGTAATAAGTACATTCTTACACATCATAAATGGCCTAGAATACTATGAATAAAATACTATGCCTAGTATACATTAAAAAATAACATACCGTGGTCGCAGCACTTAGGGGCCATACTGTACGCTTCGTGGTAGTCATGTGATACCTGTATGTTAACAGTTGAGTGTAAGATCGATACCGATTGGCCAGATATCAATTAGGACCTCACAGTGTCCTTTGTAGCAACTGACCATTGTGTCAAAGGTGGTTGCAGCACCGAAAATAGCATTTACTCTTTACTAACCGTAACGACATCTTTGATATAAAAATACGTAACACAAATATTAGAATGCTAAGCATTTTTTCCAGTGCAAGATATTGTATAATTGCAACTTTAATAAGTTAGTTTAGAGGACATACATGTAGGTTTTGCGTAAACACTTTAATACGCCTGCTTAACATTTTAGTTATTTGCTAAAATATATCTTAAATAAATATAATTGATTTTTGTAAAAAAAATACAACCGACTTCAAACGCTCTAAGAAGAATGAAATAATGTCAATTAAGTAAACTTTTGTATTAAGCAAGCTCATGTATTTTAAGTCGGCGTGGCTCTATGATGATTTTTGATACAAAATTGAAAGAGTGTGTCCATATTGCAGGTGACTATCCATAACTAAGGTGTTAATCTGCATGTATTTTTCATAGTTATGCGTTAATTATTATTTTAATACCGTAATCAGAGATCGGCATTATAGTGGTATTAACGGGTATCTTTAAAAAGATTATAACGCATTTAAATGTTTCTAACTTGGAAAAGTAACGTTTTAATACTAAACTAGCTTCTTTTCCCTATCATAATATCAAACTAAATTATTTTCCTATTCATATAGAACATTTGTGTGGGTTATTTTCATGATGCATTTATTCTGAAGTAAACATAAAATACAAGAAAATATTTCCTTGAATATATAAACAAAACAGTTTAGTATGTTTTTTATATATTTATGTTATCCAGCTACAATTTATTGATTTTCAAAATACACACACAATATTTAATTTCAATCATATTTGCAGTTTGAGCCGCGCCGACTTGAAATACGTGAGCTTGCCTAATACAAAAGTTTTCTTTATTGAAATTATTTCATTCTTTTTAGAGGGTTTGAAGTTGGTTGTATTTTTTTTTACAAAAATAAATTATTTCATGATTTTTAGTGACTGTATAGTTTTTTTTATATTAATTACTTGAGGATTTTTGATAAGCAAAACTGTTTGAAACAATCAAAAGTTCCACAGAACAATCATTATTTTAAAACTGCTTGAGTCACCTGTTCAGGTTACATAATGAATGGGCACGAAAATAAACATCTTTAGATATTCCTTAAAAAAGAAAGAGTTGTCCATTACATTAGGCCTAATGAAAAACTAATTGTCTTTTCTAGATACATTGAAATGTCAGACATCATCGTTTCCTGCAATCGGTGTACTTCTACATTATAAAAAGAAATACAGTAACGTCTCAAGTTGCGGTCTGAGCGCCGATGAGGAAGGACCTCTTATCTCGTCGTTCCAACCTTATCTGAACGCGTGCCTAGTCCTGCTCAGTGCCTACATTACCGTCTGTTTTAGGTTATGTAAGACTTTGCAACACATGTTATTTATTTAATTATTTATCTCGTTTTTCATTTCTGTGAGTCAGCATGAGTGGCAAATGCGGAAAGTGCGACGTCTTATGTTCGTCCGGTGATACTACCGCCAAGTGTACCGCATGCAAGTCGACGTTCCACGCCACGTGTGTGCGCGGCTTTACTAAAACTAAGACTCGTTCGTGGAAGTGCGAAGGGTGCAGTGAAGAAGCCTCGTCAGTGTCATCCCTCGATAAAGACTCAAGTGAAGATAAGTCATGGTTTCTCAGTGCCCTAGATGACCTAAAAACTAAAATCAATTCTAACACAGACGAAAGGGTATCAGCTCTTCAACAACAGCTGTCTGAGTTTAAAATTCAGTTAGACACCATAGTCCGGCGTACAGACTCCGTGGAGACGTCTCAACAGCATCTGGAAGAGAGATGTACCAAGTTTGAAGAGGAAAACGTGCGGCTTCGTGACGAGCTCCGGACGACGCGCATGCAACTCGCTGACATCGAGCAGTACACCCGTGTCAACAACCTCGAGATCACCGGCATTCCTGTAACTGCGGAAGAAGACATTTACACCTGTCTAGAGATGCTAGCCAATGTCATCGGCGTTACATACAGGAGGGCGTTCATCTCCATTGCTCATCGGCTTCGATTGTTCTCGGATAAACACGACCACCCTCCCATCATCGTGCAATTCACCTCGAGAACAGCGAAGGACGCCTGGCTGTCAGCGGCGAGGCGTAAGAAGACCATCGAGACCAGGGAGATCGCCGCAAACCTTCGTCCAGGGAAGGTTTACGTCAACGAGCATCTGACACCTCTCAACAAAACCATCCTGGGACGGGCCAGACGTCTGAAAAAGGCAGGGAAGCTGCACTACGCGGGATTCGTCAATGGCAAGATCCTCGTCAAGCTGTCCGAGGAAGCAGCCGCCATCCGGATCCAGCAGAAGGCAGACTTGGATAAATACGATGATGTTAACAGTAATTAGGTAAAACTACAATTTTTTTCATAATTTATTTTAGGCATGCATAAAATATACTACAAATCTACTACAAAATAAAAATTTATAATATTTTAATTTTATGATAAACTTATATGTTGTATTCAGTTATGTTTCTTTCTATGGTTAAAGCTAAAGTAGTTTCATTTTTATCAAAATATTTATTGATCTCAGTTCAGTTAGCTTTGCTCTTTGAATTTAAATTTAGAATCACTATTTTAATGTTTCATTTAATCAAGGTCGTTGTTAATGTTATGTTTATGTCTTTCACATTTTTTTTTAAAGCATGATTATTGCAACATAAATATGTTTCATTATTCATTAACTTTTATTTATTATTTGCAAGTGTTGACTTATTTTTTTTTACCAGCCTTTATCACTACTATTGAGAGAAAAACTAATTATCTAGTACTCTAAAGATCATGTGTTGAACAATTGCATGGAGTTTAATAAGTGAAATATTTCATTAAATTATTTGTTACCTCAGTTCAATCTTTGTAATAGCATGTTTCTTTGCATGTAAAATTAGTAGAATTATTTATTCAGTATTTAATTGAGATGCAAGGGATGCAAGAAAAGTCCATTAGTTATTTTATAATATTTATTACACCAAAATACCATTAATTTAATTTAAGCTATTCAATAACAATTTTATTTATTTAGTTCCAAAAGAAATTTATGTATTTAAGTGTTCTGAGGTAAAGCAATCCTAATAGTAAACTTTTCGTGTATTTAACTCATATTATATCTAATTCAAGTAATTTTCGATGATTAGATTTGTATGGTTTGATTAATAATTGCATAATTTCATTTTATGTATGTAAATATTAATTTATTATTTAAGTTATCAGGATAGGCACGGGCAGGGGGGCCTATGCGGGACGATGATTGGCAACATAGATGAAAATACACCTTTTGAATACGATTCTTGCTTGGAGCTGGATAATGTTTTTGAAAGCGAAATTTTTTTTAATGAACCCCCAATAAATAGTAGTCTTAAAATATTTCACACGAACATCAGAAGTTTCTCAAAAAATTTTGACAATTTATCAGTGTATTTACAGTCTTTGAATGCTAATCTAGATATCATCGTCTTATCAGAGTGTTGGTTGAGCGGGGGGGAGGTGGGTCACATGGACGGGTTTGACTGTACAATGACGGATACACAAAACAACAAAAATGACGGAGTCATTGTTTTCATCAACAAACAACTGTCTGCTACCGTAACACAAGTAAACATCAACAGAGTTTTTGGTATTTCTTTGGAATTCAGTCTTTTTAATAAAACATTCAATCTGTTAGCTGTTTATAGGACTTTTGATTGTGAAATTGATCATTTTATATCTGGTTTGGAATGCTATTATAATCGCATAAGTAAAGATACTAACTGTATCTTTTTGGGTGATATTAACATCGACTTACACAAAACTGATGCAATAACGGATCTTTACTTAAACACTTTACTAGGCGCTGGACTAGTCCAGTGCATCGACAAGCCGACCAGAGTGACACACAACACATCTACTTGTATTGACCACATTTTTGTCCGTTTCCAAGATATGAGACGAGTCAAATCTGCTGTCATACACTCTCATATCACTGACCATTACAGCACTGCTCTTACAATCACTAACACCATTCAGACACCTACAGGAACTGAAACGCAGTCACAGAACCAATTTCGCACCTACATTGATCACGCTACATTAACTGAACATATTACAAAAACAGACTGGAGTCCAATCATGAGCAATCACGAGGTTAATCAGTGCACATCATGTTTTTGTTCGACACTGAGTAACTGCATCAAAGCCTCAACTAAAACAATCAAACATCACTCTACAAGATTTAAAAAAATGAAGCCTTGGATTACCGTAGATCTCATAAAATTAATTCGAAAACGAGACAAGCTAAGTAAAAAGATCAAAACCCAACCGTTTAATTTATTACTACTAGATAGATTCAGGGCCCTGCGCCTATCTTTAAATCAAAACATAAAAATTGCAAAGAAAAATTATTATAGGGGTAAAATTTCAGAATCTAACAGGGATCCAAAATTATTTTGGGGCATAGTTAGTGAAATATCAGGCAGGAATTGCACTAAGGACCATTTCCCATTTGAAAAAGTTTTACCTGGTTCTTCGAATAATGCGAACATTAAGATTAAAATAGCAAACGATTTCAATAACTTTTTCACATCAGTAGGTTCTAAATTGGCCAACTCAATAAATTCAGCTGGGGCTCCAGTCGTAAACGACGCTGACTTCTCACTTGACACGAATTTTACATTCAACACGGTCACACACGCTGACATAGAACGTTACGTCCAGGGTCTGCGCGGAGGGTCTGCGCCGGGCCATGATGGTATCTCGGCCTTTGTTCTTAAAGAAAACATCCACTCTCTATGTGCTCCTCTTCTGCACATTGTCAATATTAGCCTGACATCTGGTATATTCCCAAACGAGCTGAAATTGGCCAAGATCATTCCATTGC